TTTGAATTGCATATGCAGGTATTTACCAGAAAATACAGGTCAAGTTTGAATTTGATCGTGGTCTGATGATTTTTGACAGTTCTCTCTCTTGAACTTAGAAAAAAATAAAAAATTTTCAGTTTCCTCTCTTTAACTTGTGTAAGATTGAAATTGCATGTGCAGGTATTTTACTACAATTAAAGTACAGGCCAAGTTTGAATTTGATCGTGGTCTGATGATGTTTTTTTTTTTACAGTTATCCCTCTCGAACTTAGAAAAAATAAGAAATTTTCAGTTTCCGCTCTCTTACTTTTGAAGGGATGTTTGTATAAGATTGGAATTGTATATTTATATGTTTTATTATACTGATACAAAACTAAAATGTAGAGGATTACGGATAACTGGGAATTAGCTTCTAAAGCAGGGATTAGCTCACTTGACTAATGCATGGGGATTAGTCCATTCACATATTATACCGATACAATCATACAAAAGAAAAATCTAGAGGATTACGGATAACCAGGAATTAGCTTTCAAAGCAGGGATTAGCTCACCTGACTAACGCACAGGGATTAAGTCCATTCACATTGATTTCTAGGGAATTATTCACATCTAACAATCTAATTTTACATAGGGAAAAATCAGTAGAGGTATAATAATATATAATAACTATAATACAATTACATGTATAATGTATAATAAGCTCTGCAATGGTCCTAATAAAATTTTCTCTTCCCAAGTCTTACAGTGCATATTGTTGCTAAAGCTAAATTTAGATGTCAAGTGTAAGCACTTCAAATTTATATTTTCCAAGTAATATATCTTTCCTTGATACATGTAAATATCTTTTTAGAGACTTTGAACTACATGTATCTAATTTTAATTTGAACTTAAAATTATGAAGTTTTAAATCAGGAAAGAAAATTTTAGAAATTTCCACATTTACATTTTTCTTTCTTAAAAAAAGAAAGACCTTTAATGTTTGCTAATTTTGAACATATACCCACTTAGTCTTCTATTTCTATTTATAAGAGAAAAATAATGAAGGCACTTTTACTGAAAAAGATTTTATTGCAAAAGTCCTATGCAGTAATATTTGCTATAGCTTGTAATTTAAGGTCGAAAGCACATATAAATTAATCTTAATGATTATGGGAAATGAGACCAGCATTATAAAACTCAAACCCGATTGTCACATGTTTTCAGTGTGACTAAATATGTCACACGATTTCATTACTAACAATACACAAAGCAGCTTTTTTTATTATTCACAATTAACATTCGAGTTTGAAGCAGTTTCAATAATCTAATCAAATATATGACTAAAATAAGAATGTCAAAGATCACTTACAGCAACTTGCATTCACATACGTGTACATGTACTTATATTTTTTTTAAATAAACAAAACTAAAAAAAAAGGGGGGGGGGAATTAAACAGATGCATAGATTTTTTTTTCTTAATAAATTGATTGAAACTCATTCATACAAACTTCAACAGATTTAAAAATGAATGGAAAAATTATAAAAATTTCTTTTTAAATATGTTATATTATCTATTGAATAAATCACCTACTATCGTTCACCTACATATCTGCCTTTCAGACAGTCTTTGTGTGATGTAATATATAAAAATAATACATGAATGACAAAAATAGAAACTTGCGGATGAGCAAGGTAAATCCCCAAAAGTATATAAAGTGATGTTATAAAGTTTTGCAAACAATTCAAATTACCTAATAAAAAAAATTGCACTCATATGTCACACTTTTCAGTATAATATAATACATCTGTTCCTTTATCACATTCCAGACAATATCAAATATAAAGCCTATTTCAATGATCTTTAAACAATGCAATGATTCTAATTTTCATGGTGTGTCCAAGCACTCGCTCACTTCAATGGAAGACCACACATGCCTGAGATCTTATGCTAAGAGAGACACTTGCTTTGTACCTCTGTATAAAGGTATTTTCCAAACGATTTTTTTGCAAGTTTGAAATATATTTGACAACAATTCAAAATTTGTAAATGCAGGCATGTAATTATCCTTGAATGTCCTAAGAATGAATACATGTAATACATGAATTGTGGTATTTTGAACATGGACAAAAATATCAAAAAGCACTCCTAATAATTCCAACATACTAGTTATCAACAGCACTGGACAATGTTTGTTCTATCTGTCAACCTAAGAGAGTTGTGTCCCCTCTTTCCTCACTGATACTTATCATTTCATGTGCACATCAAATTCTTTCAAAATGATAATATGTCTCTATAATGTGGGCAAATGAAATGGCAATATATCATATCATACAATAATACAAAACAAAAGAATTACATATTGACAAAAAATAAAGCACACAACATCAAGCGGTGGCCTCCTGAACTGTCTGTTGTTCTCCATTTGGTTGGTCACCTTGCCAACGCTTTTTGTGTTGTTGACGTCCAAATCCTTCATCATAATTCCCTTTCCTGGCAAAAAGTTGCTTAAAATGGTTAGTGCAGTACATAACTCCTTCATTCATGCTGAACGTTTTGGCCCTGAGAAAAGACAATTTGGAAAAGATATTAACATGACTCGTGATCTTGTGAAATTTTCTAAGTAGAACAACAAGATGTCTCAATTTTCTTTTTGTCGGAATAAATTTCACATAGATGTAAGGTTACTTGGAAATCAAAATGTAACAAAAAATTGCTTCAAATATAATGGGTCCCAGGCTTATGCAATGTAGCAACATAAAGTTGCCATGTAGTACTTTAGCATATATTTGTATGAAATGGGACACAAAGTGATTGAATTTTGCAGTGATCTTTGGTGATTTTTTTTAATCGAACATGCGTACACTTCATAAAACTTTCAAAAATATATATTTCCTGCATGCTATTATTTTTTTTTAAACTTTCAAATGCATTCACACGCACTTGAAGTAAACACTTGCATGCAAAATCACATTCTATTTCATGAAATATTGAAATTCTTAAAAAATAATTGGTAAATGATAAACCACAAAATTTCAAAGGACCTGTTACCAGGTAATTAATATAAGGTTAATTAAACTAAGTAGTGGTACAATATAACTAGATCATCTGTTTCTACTCGGATTGGTGATAAGTAGGCAGGATGTCAGCCATTTTAACAAGGGAAGGAAATTAGCTCTGGGAAAGGAAGTGTTCTATTATACATCGGCATCCTGCAGAATTTGCTGAACAGTATATAAATATACACAAATATACCTAGTTGTACTTACACATATATTATACACATTGAATGGGGGGCAATGACTCATGTAAATTGAACTCATGATATCGTAGGGCAGTGTACAATGAACAGGACCTCTGAAGGCGATTTTTTCAAGCATCACTTCTTTCTCTGTGTTTGCTTGACTTACTGTCTTATCTTCCTGGGTTGGAAAACATTTGAAATCTGAATTTCTTTCATTTAAAGTATCAGTTTTATATATGCTGGTTTATACTTTAATTACTTTCATAAGGTTAGAGTTACATAATACATGTATGTTATCTATCTACAATATCCATGGTTCTAGACTGAAATATTTCTATTTTGCATGCCAATCTGGTACGGAAGTAAAATAAATGGAATTTTATTTCACTATTACGTGAAAACAAACACTACTAAGCCTAAAGAAAGAAAATTTTCTTCTCTGGATCATAACATCTGGCCTAGGGGAAAAGGAAGGTTGGCAGGTACCCTGTGATGAAAACATAAAATTAAAGTAAAAAAAAAAATCTTATAAAAGTCATAGTATGAATATCTTACGTTAATCGTGAGTTACAGTGGGAACATTTAAAACACGCTCTGTGGTAGCAGTTTTTATTCATTTCGATCTTCTCCATGGCATAGACGGTTTTCTGACATGCCGCACACTTCTCCAACTGTACGGCGACAAAGGGACTTTTGGGCTGCACAGAAAGAGTTATAAACATAAACGTACAAACAAAAATCACAAGCAACAAACTCAGGCAAAAATCTTTCAATTTCATCAGCCATGCTGTTACTATGGCAACTATACAGAATTGCCAGTGCCAATCAAATGTATCTGTCTATAATGTTAATTTTTTTGGCTAAATTATGTTTAAAAAAAACAGATGCCTTACACTGCAACAAGATGCTGAATTATAATCAAAAATCAAATTTAACAAAAATTAAAACATATAATGTATAAATCATATTATTAGTGCATGCAGTTTGAGGGAAAAAAAGAAAAGTGTAATTATAATAATACCTGAAACAAAGAAAAGCAAATCATGTTTTTTAACATTTCTATGATTTTGTAGTGTGTATATTTCATAAAACAAATTGGGATCTTGAAATGAAATCAAAAACATATTTCACTATAACAATAGTTTTTTGTTTGTTTTTTTTAATTTTTAAACCACAATATCCAATCTTTGAAATGGTAGGAAGTGATTCATATAAGATGACTCATGTGTGTCTTAAAGATAACAGCTATCTTCTTTAAATGCTGCCTTTATCTTTTTCATGATTTTTTGACAGATTTCAGTAGAAAGTGATGAAGGAAGAGTTATTTGCACCCATCCATCGATTCTCCCAATGATTAAGGCAACTACAGGGATTAAATGAACCATGAAAACTATGTTCAATGATGAATGCTAAAAACATGAGCTTTAAGGCAATGTCTATAGAAAATCATTTTAAAATGTTTGTTTTTGCCAAGCAAGCTTTTCTAGCTTTTATAATGTTTATAATAGAGTCTAATCTGCATCTGCTGCTAGGTCACAATTCTGCAAGGTTATTTCAATGATATGAGAGATCCACTATTATGTACATTATGTTAGTAATCAAAAATGTTACTCAATAAAAGCAGCTAGGAAATAATGTACCAGCCTAAATATTTTTTGAACTGGAGTTATAGTAATACATGGGTAGTTACAAAATATCATTATTACATTTATTTCTGTTGGATATGGATTTACAAAATATTTGGAGGAAAGCTGTATATCAGAGAAAACCCTCTATTCATAATACAGGGAGAGAAAATATAGATGATTATAATAATCGTAACAGGGATATGTATATATTGTGAGTGATAATTTGACACCCATAGCTGCCCACAGGCCATTTATGTATACAGAACACTCACACTTGCATTGTTGCCTGTAGAGGGAGCCACATTTGACTCATCATCCTGAGGAATATTGTATATAGTCATATGAATAATATGTATATATACGATCATGTATTATATATGCCAAGAGAATGCCTGTCAAAGTAAACTTTTTGTACATATATACTGCAATTACATTTTTACTGATTAAATCAAGAGGTTTTTTAGAAATGCTGCAATGAATATTTGAACACACTTCTGAACAAAAAAAGGAAACTCTATCTTGAACACTTGAAGATTGCTTAATATTTATTTTAAGCTGTCAGTGACTAAACATGTTGTATATGCATGTTTTCCTACAAATGAAAGCAAGAAAAGAGTGTGGAATAGTATTTAGAAATCCTTCATATTAGAAGAATTGGAATAAAAAGAATATATTTCATGTCAAGATTTGTTTGGCTTTAGATTAACTAGAGTAGGATGATCTTTTAAAAAAAAAAAAAAAAGGTCGGAAAGTCAGACAATCTATTATATACATGTACCAGAAGTGTATTTAACTATTGCACTTGAAATGCTATTTAAATGAGGTTACAAAGAGGGCAAATAATTAGGTGACAAAGAGAAAGAGAGAAAAAACTTAGTAAAAACTAACTAAGGACTAGAAAATTAAAGAGAAGAACTATATAATAATAGAGAAAAAGAAACTCCCCAAACTAAGAGAGGTTAAAGGTCAAACACCAAGTGTGGATCTTGAGACTTACTGTTCCTACGGAGGTGGGGGTATTCTCGCCTCTTTCTGGCGAGTCACTGCGCTCCTCAAACATCTGTACAGGGCAAAAAAAAAAATTGGGTTATATTAGTAACAAACAACAGAATGCAAACCATGCAACAAATAACCGTCACACGCCTTCAGCAATTTCTGGTCAGTCTCCTTCATTTCATACATGATCTGGCATTTAGTGTAAATAAATAAAAGACATATGTCTGGAATATTTGTCTTGCACCAATAACTATACAGAATGAACCCCCCCCCTTTTTTTTTCAAATGATTAGTGACTATATTCCATTCAGGCTGTGCAAAAATGTGACATCATATCAAGTTGTATATTAGCTCGTTTATAATGCAATTTATATTTCATATATATTGCACAAAAACTCAACAAAGTCAAAACTATCAATGCTTACAAATCTTAAATATTATGCGTCATCAAAAAGATTTGACAGCAATTATCATTGAAAACTACCACCAGCAGAGAAATCTTTATGATTCTCCCTCCTACACTAAAAGCAGACAGTTGAGTGAACCATTATAGACAAAACTTACTTAACTAATTAGTGGCTGTAAAACCATGCATGCATGTACAGACATCAAACCAAGACATGTGCTATATTGATTTGTAAGGTTCGTGATTGTTAGGGGCTACATTATTAATCATACCTACAAAAATAAACTCTTGGGAACCCATGGACAAGATTATAGCAGGTGCAATATACCACAAAAATTGGCTCAAAGTGCCGGAATAACGTGTAATAATTATGATCCTCCTGCGTTTGTGGTTGACTTTTGTAATTATTTATACATACTCTAACAGTCACAAAATGTTCAGATATTTATAGTACCTTAACTTCAAAATTCTCATGAAAGATTAATTTCAAAAGTACCAAAGAGCCATTTGTTGATATTGGAGGTAGGTGATATTAGCATCTATTTAGACCTGGTCAAAATATGAGGTTCTGAACAGCCAGGCTTGTATATACTCAGAACCATGTGTTCTCTGTCAAAAGTTGTTTATCAAAGTTCATATACACCAATTAAATGAATTTATGGAGCAGTTTAACTGAACATCTTTCCCAAATCAACCTATTTACTGAATAAACCTGTCTATTAATTGCAACGAAATATATACACAGTGTGTCTTACATATACAATAAATCAATTGAAGAAAAGTTTTCAAATCTGCCTTGATTTTTTTTTTCTGTTTGGAATCCAATGCTTTTCCCCACTTAATATTTTTTCTGCATGTACATCAATGAAAACATTGTCTGGGAATATTCAGAAAATGTTGCCATAGCAGCTGGAGTTTGTTTCTGAAGACATCAAATATGAAGGATTTTCATCACTTTGGCCTTGCATCTGTAACTCAGAACATATTAATCTCCTAATCTCCCTCCATTTCTTGAGTATCAGCAGGTTAGAGCAAATTAATATGCAAGCAACTCCTCAGGGAATTTTTGTTCTTTAATTTGCAATTGCATTCCTTAAAAAAGGGTCCTTGCATGGATTTGTGTTGTACATTTCCTACACCTGAAGTTTTGGTCAAATACCTAACACTGACTGTAATTACAGTTTGAATTTCTTTCTTTTTCTTTTCCTTTTTCTTTACATCGAAATCTTTGTCATTTAAATAATAAACTTTCATTGACACACATTTTCAGTTTTTGACAAATATAGTTATTGCACTTGCAGTCTGAAAGCTAGGAGGAATTTAACCCCTTAAAAAAAATTAAAATCTATCCTGATCAGAAACTGATCATGCTTTTAGTATAAGCTTTGCAAGATGTATGCAAGTTTAACCTACCCCATCATTCACAGTTTCTTTTCTTTCCTCCATTTTGACTTTGAAGCAATGTTGCCCAGATAAAAATCTAATAAACTCTGAATTATTTCCTTATACCTCCAGCTTTTATACATATACACCCTCCCCCTGTCCTACTTTATGTCATTTTTCCCCCTAACTTCTGATGAGCCATTTCCTTAGTACATTCATTTCACAGTCTCCCTTGTGAGTTTGCAGTGACCTTGATTGGTTGAATAACTTTATGAAAACCCTTGACAGGATACATAATGTGAAGTTGCACTAGTATTACCCTTCATATCCTTTTCATATGAAAGACAAACCATCAATGGCAAACTATTAAGAATACTCTAATTGTCACAAAACAACTTAAAGAGGTCATCCTAGATATGAACAAGAGAGGTTGTATACATGTAGTCATCCACTGAACTGTTAGCCCTGGCCACTTATCCAAGAACAATTATTAAATACATGTTCTTTTAGTTCCCACTTTTCAAGGAAAAATACCCTTGAACAACAAATTTCTTTACATATAAGTATGAGAAGGGAAGGAAATGAAATGTTTCTTTTGCCATGCTTACATTTATAGGTATTTAAGTACATTGATACATTTCCTCTTCCTGTTTTTGTCCTGGTTTTAAACAGCCCACACAAACAGCGCTGCACAATTAGCTCACATAACATTTGAACTGCTTCAATATTTTACTTAATCCCATTGCAGTCGGACCTGTACCTACATATAACAAAGCCATGACAGGTCCCCATAGAATATGAGCCTGGTTAATTCAATATTGATTAATACAGGGGACTATAGACCCCAATCAATCTACCAGCATTCTCCTCAGCATCTCGAGACTCAGCAAGCTGTCCTGCCAGCTGGAAGCACTAGTCAAAGGATCAATATTGTCTAACTCAGAAGCCTGTGACCTCTTTTTTCCAAAGCATGGCTGTTTTTTAAAAAAAATTTTGAAAATCAATCTACAATGTATTGCACAGGAAATGCAGTCCTCCTACTGAGTTCAACACACATAATGGATCAAAGTGCATTCACAACGTTTTCATCTCAAACTTTAGACTGAAATATAAAAGCATGTGCAAATTGCACTAAAGAATCTTTCTAATCACCACACCTTGTTAAAAGAACATCACTTGGATCTTTGCAATTTCCATTATTATTTTGTTCTAATTTGCTGCTGATTCTGCCAAAATTGCTTGAGCTTTTAGACTGCACTAAACATCATGAGGTCAAAATTCCCCTGACTAAATATCTTGTTAACCTTTAAGTTTGCAAGTTTACATAAAATAAAATCTTATGCTTTGGGGTGTGTGTTTCATTAAAGATATTTTTTGGCTCAGGGCAACAGACTTTGATAGTTTAATGTTAATATGTCATTTCAAAATTTTCCATGAAGTTACACCCATTGTCGACTAAAACCTGCTGTGAAATTTAAGATCACTAGGGACTATGTTGCATTATGAATGAATGAACTGAAATTACATACTATGGAAAAGACTGAATTTTAGCAACTATCAGTTTTAACCTTGTCCATGTTCTGTGATTAATTTATAGGTCATACATCCACATTAGAAAAAGTATGTTCATGCACCAATGAAATTGAAAGAGTTTTACATTTAAACAATGGTCTTTCAAAATGGAAACTTTAAAAAAAATTCTGACTAAATTCGAAAATATTTGACTTGTGTGTAATAGTCTTCTTAAACAAACAGTATTAGATGAAGTCAATCCCTCTTAAAACATGTTATTTCTAACAATAGCCAGTGAACTATCTGTCCTCCTTTCAATGAGATTGAAATTAATAAAATGATACTTCAAAAAAATTTTCAAAATAGAAACAATAGCAAATGAAATCTATAATTTTCGAACATTATAATCACATGGAGCATAACCCAGTAGAGAGTACATTAAATTAACATGGCTAAAAAAAGTTTTTTTGTGCAAACGAAGAAAAGAAATTCATGATTACCTTGAGCCGTTTTTGTACGGCTGACAATTCCGTCATTTTAAAGAAAAAGCAAATGTTTTGATTTTGAATCAGTGAGCTCCACTCCTGTTATACTCCCTCAGTTCTCACTATGACTAGTTCATAACACACACAGGATAATATAAAGCGGCCAGGGGCCACTCAAGGGTGAATTCCTGTATCATTATACACACATCACAGAGCACAGGTCAGCTGTTTTATAGGGATTTTTATGTAAGAAGTATATCTCTTAACAGCCAAAGATGATTACATCTTATTCTATACACAGATCAGGCATGACCATGAACAGGGATTTTCAGCTTTGTTTATGATCCGTGTTTCAGTGTATCGATTTGATACACAGCTGTTTTTTCACAGTTTTAAGAGGGGGAGACCTGCATGTGTGCTGCATTTGTTGACTACAATAAATGTTTTGCTTATGCTGCAAAATATTTTTATGATCTGACCCAGTTTATATCCTTTATTTCCTATAATTAACATTCTATGAAATAAAATGGTTATGCATTTAGCCATGCATATATGTCCTCAATCAGTCTCAATGTACTTTTACAATCAATAATTTATAGTTCTATTTATAAACAATTGTCCCTAAAACCATTTCATTGTCCTAATCATTTCACTTTTATGGATCAGGTCATAAACTGTCCCAGGCAGATGGTATCACCAAAAATTTTTTGGATGTAACAACAATAGTAATTGACAACCTCCTATTCATATTATGTGTCTGGTAATAATATGCCATAGCCTTACAGGATATAAGGTACTATTTAAAAGGCAGTAATTGATTTCCATATTGACTCATTTATAAGCTATATAGCTATTCTGAATAATTCACCTTGCATACATCTTGATTAGATGGGTTTAAGATAATGATAGGTTAGTGCTCATAATTAAACCACCTCCAGTGCGTTTGAATGTCTCTGTGAGCCCACAACCTTAAAGAACATGTGTATGCAAGAAAGACGTTAAAATTCCAAAGATCTGCAATGAAAAACAAATGCTTTGCTTGTAACCTTCAGAGCTATAGCATGAGAAGAGTGCAAAGTGGAAAATGTGACAAGGGGGATAACTCATGTACACTGAAAAACCCACCTTCTTTTTCGGACTCCTTGGACTATCTGCAGAATCCTACAAGATGCCGATGTAAACATGCATGAAAAATCTAGCATACATTCTTATGCACAAAAATCTGCTTTATGCAGAATATAAAAACACTGACACACCTATAGCCTACTTCAAATTATCAAATCAAAAACTGTGTATTATCAGGCAATAACTGTTATGGAGCTTGTCTGGTAGAGCATAACAACCAGAGCAACCACTTCATACTGGCAGCTGTGTTGTAAGGATAAAAAGGGCATTAAACACTTAGGTATAAACTGATAAGAAGATGATAAATTTTCTGATACCAAACAAAGGGCAACTCTGCTGCCAGGAAGAAGTGTGTTTCATCAGGTACAGCTGGTGTATCTGATTATTGATGATAAATACCTTACACAAAGGAAGTATTAGGGACCATGGGAACTATCCCAGCATGCATTACTCACCCTCCTGGAGATGGGCTTAGGCACTTCCTGGGACTTCTTTGCCTCCTCCTGCACTGATCGGAACTTGCTGATGAGGGATTTGCTGGTGCCCTCCTTTGGCAGGCCTTCACTCCAATCAGTCTCATCCTCTCTGGCAATGTCTGCACGGTGCGTTGGCTGGTTCTCGTAGATTCCTGGACCCCCTTGTTCTTGGTACTGACCTGGTAAATCCCGAGGATGAACACTGCTGTTGGTTCCGGCGGGTGATTTGGGACTCAGAGGACTCTTAATTCTGGGTTCCTCCCTTGGAGGGGTGAATTCTTTGTATCTTGGTGAGGGAGAAGCGGATTTGCTATGCTCAGTTTCAAGTTGTTTCCATTTAGATACCATATTTTTTGCGTAGCCTCTCTCTGGGAACTCAACTGTCCCAGCAGATGGTTCCTCTTCTCTTGCCACACCCTCTCTCCTGTCTGGGTTGTTTTCTAAAATTCCACTTTCTGCCTCTCTCTGTTCCACCGTCAAATGTTTCTGAGGGGTGTTTTCATAAATGCCTGACTGGGGTGGGGGCGTGAATTCCTTCTTTAACCTTGGTGAAGCTGGGGAGTTGGACCCTGAATGCTGGATTTCCCTAAATTTGTTCAACAGATTTCGAGTGGTTCCTGTTTCAGGCATATCTTCTTCACGGACATCATATGAGTGGACAATATCTGACCTTTCTTGGGGTTTATTTTCCAAAACACCAGAGAATGTGTCTTGTCTAGGTGGAGTTATTTCCCTTGGTTTATTTGCTGGTGAACTGCTGGGTGATCCTGCACCTTTTTGAATGTCCTTGAATTTGGAAATAACATTCTTTGCATAACCTTGTTCTGGTAAAGGTTCCTCATAATATTCTCCAGATTTGACAATCTCTGGACATTCCACTGGCTTACTTTCATATATACCAGCTTCTACTTGCCCTTCATACTGCTCAAAGGTTGCTCTGGGTTCAGACACATATTCTCCTTTTGTGAATCTGTCAGGTGTCAACTCTTTCTTTTCTCTTGGTGTAGATGGAGATTTGCTTTTTGATTCATACTCTTTGAATCTCGAAACTAAATTCCTGGCTGTGCCTTGCTCTGGTAAAACCTCCTGTTCATGTTCATATGACTTGACAACATCTCTGTCTTCTTTAGGTTGACTTTCGAAAATGCCAGACTCTGTTTTTCCTTCGTATGTCTGAAAAGTGGACCTAGGCTCACTGACATACTCCCCCTTGGTAAATCGGTCTGGAGTTAGCTCCTTCTTTGGTGATGGAGGAGGACGATTCTTAACTTGAGTTTCTATTTCCTTGAACTTGGCCAACACATTTCTAGCGTATCCCTGCTCTGGTTTGACATCTTCAACTGTGTCATACGACTTCACAACTCCCTCTTCAGAGACAGGCTGATTCTCGAAAATTCCTCCTTCAAGCTTCTGCTCTGGTTTTTCAATAACAGCTCTTGGTTCACTGACATACTCCACAGGGCCAGAGCCTCTGGGTGGGGTAGCCTGCCTTTTCCCGACCACAGGTTTTTTGGAGTCCTCCTGGATCTGGGTGAACCTCTGTAGCATGCTCTTGGCTGTGCCCACCTCTGGTAACTCCTCCCCAATGTTTTTGGGATCACTCTCCCTCACCACTCCAGGCTCATGGACAGGTTCATTCTCATAGACCCCTCCTTCCACTGACATAATTTCCTCCTGAACTGTGGGCTTTCTGGTCTTAGTCTCCTCCTCAACCTAAAATAAGGAGGTCAATTGAGATGTCAAACATGACTAAAAACTGAGATGAATTTAATTAAATATAGTATATTATGTTGATGTTAAGTTTTCATTGCTTTGAAATTGAGAAATCAAAAATACAGTCAAATATCTTCAATGGAACAGGAATGTCAAAACTTGAAATATTAGAGAGTTCAAGATAACAAAGTTTGGATTCATAATGACATCAGGAACACAGAATCATTTCAAGACCAACCATGTATTCAATATATCAATGTTCAAGATATCAAAAGTCAACTGTATTTGAAACACACGCACATCAACTGATTTTCTTAAATGAGATTTTTTTCAAATCAATATTTTTCTCATAGGTATGAATTCATGCAGTTAAAGAATCTGTGTATACCGCTTTGTTAAAAAAGGAAACAAATTAAATTAATATTACCATTTTTCTAAGATTAATCAACACATAATATGTGACCTTTAAGAGACATTTAAAACACTCACCTCTTGTGGACCATTGCTGATGTCTCCATTCTGGACAACTGTTGTCCTGCAAAGAATGAAAATAAGGCATGTAAGAGTTATCCCTCTTGAACCACTTTGATATTATAATGAAAAACAAACTCTGTGAACTAACGAATGCCAATAACATTTGTCAATTTAAGTCATACAATATTTGCAATACATGTTTTATAAATACACCTATCCCTCCAATATTCCATGTACATCTTTGACAATCTTTCACCTTTTTCCCCTTAAGGTTCATAAGCCCCCTTTTCACTCATATAAAACGTTGCTTTAATGCTTGCTATTTTCCAAAAGAAATGTGTTTTATAACTAAAATGCAAACAATTTTAGCATAGCTTGCAGGGCAAAATTGGACAAAAAAGACACTTCAACTTGACAAATTTATAAAGGAGTAATAGATATTTAAACTTGTTAAGAGTTATCTCTCTTATCAGAGTGTCAATGAACCTTTCAAACAAACTCCTGTAAACCATTAAATTTATTCTTAAATTATGTATTTCATAACAAATATATTACAAAGTGTGAATGATATAAATTGACAAATGTAGGCAATTGAGAATATATGGTAAATCTTCCATCTTCACAAAAGTTGTTTCCCTATTACATCAGAACAATTTGCCAGTGGATAAAAACAAAACAAAAACATACATAATACCAAAAATATTCTGTGACAAATTTTTGGGTACAGTATGTATAATCTAGTGATTACAAGACGTAAGTGCAGGTAAGTGGTAGGTACTTGTTTATAATGCACCTGGTTTCATCACAGGTGGTTGAGGTTACCAGGAAAAAATTTTCTCTGATGATAAACAGGTTTTGTCACAAACTGTGTGAATCATTATAATGTGAGAGTTTGTGTGACTATAATAATCTCTTTCAATGTGATAGCTAGTATAAAAATCTTTTGAAACAATGTTTGGGGAAAAAGCTTGTTCCTCCTGCCATCAAGTTCAATCACTCTTAAAAATTTCAAATCCTCTACACTCATAATATTGAAATAAAACTTCATGACAATTTCTTGTCTTTTTACAGACTGTAAAATTGAGAAACTGAATAACAGGCAACAGGTAGACTGCAAAGACTGGACTCTAGATTTATTTAAACAACAAAATGCTTTCTTTGATTGTTAGTATGGGAATTAATGTTGCAGCTGTTGCAGAAAAAATGCATAACCCGCTTAAGCAACAAAGACATTTTATTGTTTATATTTGTATCTGTAGTAAAAATCGCCTAAAGTAGGATTAAGTAGATTAAATATTGCATTATTGATATGTACGTCACTGTACGTTTCACTGATGGAAGAGGCACTGCTCAAGAAATCTTTACAGGTGATATGCTCATTGCTATTTACTGACTGATAAAAAGCAATAGTTTTCTTAAGAAATAAAGGAGAAGATATTCAGTGGATGTAAATATATCCATGTGATATTAACAATGTAGGCCATAACAAATAAACACATATGTAAACTCCAATTCATATGATATGAATGAGGTAGACTGTTATAACTGTACATACGTTTTTGTTGTCGTTGTCGTCTTTTGACCAGTCTCACTCTCTTCTGAAAAAAAAAAGAAACGTTACATTAGGACATTGAATCTAATCCATCCGAAGTCCCAAACTTTCAATTTTCCACTTGACAGATCTTTTTTTGAAAACTGTATCTTAATGAAATACTTAATTCAAATGTATGTTGATGGAGACATTTATAATCTCTTTACATTCATAGACATAGGAAAACCATTTTAGGTTATAAAAGCAATAAAAAAAATTCAAATAATAATGAATCAAATAAAGTAAATATGTCTCTACAAAAAATATTCTCAAGATTTTGCTAAAATCTATATTGTGAAGACAATATACAAATAAAGCTTTATCCTACATGTACAAAATTGACCCCATTATTGGTTGCATGTCTTTAATTTCAATGTGAGAGTGATTATAATACTAATTCTTCATTGTCCTTTCAAGGCCTCGGAGTACACATTCATAGGCTTTAGCACCTACACCATCACTAGAATGTACTAATGATGCATTCACATGCTTACCAATTTCCTCTAGACACTTGGAACAGCCTCTGCAGTACTCACCACATTCCCAAAAGCCCTGAACAGCACTCAATTGCCCTGTCTGTTCAGTGCTTGTTTTCATCTGATGGACATATCCAGAATACCAACTGTTTCTCCCAGACAAAACTGTCTGTACTGTACTTTCCATATGTAAATATCACTAAATAGAATTCCTAAGATTCTCTCCAAAATGAGAACTTTGAGAAGAAGAAAGCATCAAAAACTCCTTTGAAGTTTCCTACACATAGTCCAGTTCACTATTTATCCCTTGAGTTTAAACAATTTCGGAATGCTAAATTACTGACAGTAAAAAATTGCTAGGAAAATCAGATTTGAAATGGTCTTCCTTCCCAGTAAAAAATCACCAGAATCTTTACAAAACATATGTATTATGAAACAAAACTTCAAGCCTTGCATCACAGACAGCAAAATCGCTGCTAGTACATTCCATCTAACATATGGAAGGAATTAATATAACCAGATGGGTCAGTCTCTCCCACTGCTAAGTATTGGTTGATTGATAATACCATTATCTAATCAATCTGGGTAGTTCTCAATTTTATATGATTAGTAAAAAGTAGGGATGTCAACGAGTACCCGGTTAACCGGGTACTCGATCGAACGTCCGAGTATCGAATACTAAAAATGGTATTCAGTTACTCGGATGTGTATTTTTTTCTAATTTCAAAGTACATATTTTTATCAAAAACTTTTCAAAAAATAACTTAAATATGCACACGGTAATTAGCGTGTCGTCATCTACACCCGTAAAACACCCGTTATCGCCTGTGGCTGTATATATATAGTAATTAGTGACCAATCATTTGGTACACAACTGTTCTCACCTATTGTGATCCTTAATTTTTAGATGACTTCAATGATTGTTTTCAGTGAACATCGTTTAAGTATGGTCTATTACCTTCAAATCATTTTTAAATTATTTAATTAATATACGACAGCGAAATTGGACATTCATAACCCACTTCACAAGTGAAGAAATATTTAGAAATAATTAAAGATTTTAAAAAATGCTGAAAGTCAGTTTGCGTAGTAAGTTAAGTGTATATGGAGGGAGAAACAACCAGCAAATGAAATATTATTAGACTAGCGATCCCAACAATGTCCGTTCCTTCTCTTTCGCTAGTCTAATCATCACAAACCTGCGTAACAGCTTGTCCTCCTTTTGCGTTCATGAAATAGATCCTAAACAAGAACTGTAAACCATATGTAATTTCTGATGTATTAATTGTCTTTTGTGTTTATTTGATAAATAAATTAAGTACCAAAAAATCATTTCCATTGGACTCGATGTTTATATACATTTACAAACGTGATAAAAACAGCTTTGGGGTTTAGCAGAGCTTAACGGGGCTCAAGAAAATTAACACACTTGTATTTACATTTTTGTTACCGAGTACCCGGGTACTCGATCGGAAAAACGTCCGAGTAACCGATTATCAAAAATTGACCGATTTGACATCCCTAGTAAAAAGTAAAGCCTAGAGGCTCTCTGACTCTTCCTGGATGGGACATCAGTCCACCTCAGTTACCACCCCCCACCCCACCCCCAGGTAACTCAGTACCCAGTGTAGTTGGGCAGACTGAGATAATGCAGATAAAGTGCCTTGTCTAAGGACACAACTTCAAGTGCTCATGACGGGCCTTTGGGTTACTGGCATAACACCTATGACCATTGAGCCATATGTTCCACTTTTCTTTAACTTTTTTTTTTATATGACACATTTTCTATTTTTTCAAACTTTTTTTTACTTTACAAGAGAAGTTTTGTCCCATATTATTATAACCCAGACCACTGGCAGATTTAGAGTATAAGCCCCAAGGGGCCTGCCCCTCTCCTTTTGTGTCCTAAAATTACAATTTAAGAAATCAAATTATTACATTTAATATTATGTGTCTCCCAGACCTTTAACCTGCTTCCCCTTTCAAGAATCCTCGATCCACCACTGCAGCCATATTAGAAATTACTCACTTCTGTTTTAACCCACCTTAGTTATATGTTTCACAACTGTTTAGACTTTTGCCATATATCTTCTCCCTATTAAGTGCTTAAAGCACTTAGAAAATGGCAAAAAAGGTAGTCGTATTGAAATTAAATAAATTGACTGTGTCAAAAAGTTAATTTAAGTTTCCCTAACTCTATCTAATAAAAGTTTTGTGGGAAAAATAAATTGTTCAAGATTGTGTCAATCACTTTTTCTCAACTCACACAGATCAATGACAGAGTCAATTTCATGGAACATAATCCAATTTTCAATTGAACTTGAATGTAAATCTGATGGATTTGGAAAACTGATCAGACTATAAGTTTTTAAAAGGGGGGGGGGGGGTATTCTCAGTCAATCAGAAAATACTCCAGGGGACACTTATAGGGTAGGGGCACTTATTAGGGAGAATAAGTTTATTGCTTGTTAATTCAAATCAGCAAAGCATAAAATTCATCCACTAGTGGCCTGGTCGAAAATAAAACAAGGATGAAAAATTTATCCCTGTTTTACTTTCGACCAGGTACATAAGTACAAGTAGTACACAATTTCTGGAAAAAAAGCTTCAACACCCACCATCATGTCCCCTAGCTCATTCATGGCCTCTCTGACTGAATTTTTTTCATTTATACCATTTACAGTCATGATATATCATATATGCATGAATATAATATACATTAAATACACACAACCCTCAATCATAGCTCTAAATCAAGATATAATGTAGGAGATGGGCACAGTCCTCTAACATGAATATACTTCCAAATGACTTCACTGCCTTTTGTTTCATCTTGCCTTTTCATCTATTGAGTTATACATAGAAATGAGCCATATTGCTTTTAGTAAATTACTTACAAGTGAGTGGCTCTTAATTGAAATCTCTCTCCCTGCAGCTAGCTTAGTATGTATACCATCAGGGGAAATGAAAGTCAGTGTAAAATATGTACTGTGGGAAACTGAAAACAATTGCTTTGAGGACACAATTGTTCCTATAAACTATCATTTTCTTGTGACATGCAGACCTTTCACATGAATTACTGTAAGGCATTTTCCTCAAAATGAGGATAACACATCAATTTCCTTGATTTATTTTCAAGCAATCATGACAAAAAACTCCACCAACATATATGCTTTATATTATAAGCAAAAAATGTAAATCTGGCATTTTGTATTCATTATTTGTTGAATATAAAGGTAAATCTTTACTGCACAGGCCTCTTTTTGAACAAGACAATTTGTTCTTAATTTGTGATTTTCAGCAGTTTCAATTCACTACAATTACATAAGATTCCACACTGCAATAGTGCAACAATCTGCAATGTTTGCTTTTGACAAACAAAGTGTTGTCAATCATGACCAAACAGTTCCCATTTATGTCTTTGACTAAATTACACCTGAAGAAAAGGCTGCAATTTTAACATGATATTGCAAGCAAAATAGCTGTTGTTTCTGGTCCCCAATTCATTTCTCATTCATCCAACAAGAATATAGCACACACATTTCTGATACATACCTAGATATACACCTGTGAAAACACATTAAACACAAAATCAAACATAAACACATAAAAACCAAAAATGCCTAAAGTCTAAAAACCCTACAATATCTAATTCCCCAGTAGAGATTACCTTCATCATCAATAGCGATAGAGAATAGCTGTTCCCGCTCCTTCTTAGTACGCGGAAGAGATGTTGTCCGAAACTGGTGTATGTATCCATTATACCATGTCGGAAGTCCAGGTTTATGACCAGGAGATCGGAGACTTGTCATTGTGAAATAAATAAACTTCCAAAATCACCATTAAAAAAATTCATCAAAAATATTCATGTCCCATTTGCAAGAAGATGACTATATAATCACTGATGCCCAAAAAATGGATGACATTCCTTGTATAAATGCAAAGCATTTCCAGATAAGAAAGGATCGTATCTATGACATTGCAAATAAAGTAAAAATATCCTGACCACTGTATCAGGCAATACACACATTTATGTCCAGATAGTCAATCAAGTCCACCGTGTGGCTGCTGGCTGGTCTAGGCCCCAGGGGCAGAGCTTACGGTCTTAACTTACACAACACAATGACAAACGCCCCGCCTAAAAACATCAGCTACCTTCAGCAGTCATGTCAACCTTATCAGTACGTTAAAATTCACTTTCACACCAACACAATCCTCTAAATCGAGTCTTTATATGTGCGTTCACACTCCAGACAGTAATTACATCATTACAATTGGCAGTCCTGTAAATTGAATCTCGGCAATCAACATGAGTATAGGTCCCGAATCGTGGTGTGCTATTTCAGATGTCCCTCAAACACATAAATGACCGGGATTATATATATGTAAAATCTGGAGTGCTTTAGATTCCTTAATCATTCAAATATGCAAATTTGTTGACATGAAAAATTACTCCTTTTGTCCTTTGAATACCAAACACCATGGGGCAACACATGTATAGATACAATACTATCCCCATTTAGTTTTTCTT